CGGGTGTGCCTCCTGAGCCTGCCGAAGGGAGGCAGGGGCTGCAGCTGCAGCTCCTGCTCAAACTCGTGAGGAACAGGCTATTTCTGGTCTGTTCCGCATCCCTGTTTACGTGCCTGAGTCTTAGGGGCAGGTCGAAACAATGAGGGCCTGAAAATGGCCCTCCGTTTCAGGCTGAAAACTCTGGGTCTGAAAAGACCCAGAAATAGGCTGAAACGGGGTAGGGCCTGCAGGCCCTCGTTTTTCAGCTTTCAGGCTGAAACGAACGGGGCCTGTAAGCCCTAAGTTTTAGGCTTTTAGGCTGAATGTCCGGGACGGGCCCTGCAGGGCCCGTGTGGCTACGCAGTATGCCACAATGGTCCTTGCACAGCCGGGCCGCCCGGGAAAATAGGGTGACCCGGGCGGCCCGGCTGGTAGCCTAGGTTTTTAATTATTTGAATTTATTTCTTTTTTGCTCGGGCCTTTTCTGGTCCTTGCACGGCCAGGCCGCCCAGGAAAACAGGGTGACCTGGGCGCCCGGCTGGTAGTCTAGCTTTACAGTTAAAAAAGGGGAAAAAAAAAAAGGAAAGCAGACAAAGTCACTCGCAAAAGGAAAGAGGGTCGCAGACGAGAACAAGCAGTGATAGGCATACGTAATGTGACAAGCACAAAATGAGGATGCATCAAATATGAAGACTCACCACCGAGAGATAGTAACCAGTGGATGCCGTTTGCCCAGTGAGAGTCCCAGAAGAGTGTATGCAAAGTTATGCCAATCTATTACCATGGAGGCACCCCGGAGCACGCATGCAAATAGCACGACCATAAAGGTCGGAATTGAAGGAGGATTCTGCGAACTTGGTCATGCGGAGGTGTGGACGGAAATCACAACAAACAAAGCCACATTTGCAAAACGAATAAGCCGATAACTGTCATTTGTTGCTCATTGTGTACCAGAAGCTCTATACAGTAGTATAGAGTACTATAGAACCAACACAAGTTTATCGCAACCAATCCATTTATCCACCACCAAGTTGATTGGGAAAAAGTAAAAAGAACAACTCAGTTCTGACCAAGCTTAACCTCAGGTTACCAGGGTGTTTGGCACCACGACGTCGGACTGTCTCTCGCCTAGCCATCCACAGCCCCAGTGACACCATGCCCACCTGTCCTTAGCTACATAAAGAGTCCGAAAAAGCCTTGCGAGGTGTCATCCGGGATCAACTCGGCATTGATACGATACAAACGTACAAACTACGGACGACCAGAGCGGAGTGTGTTGTTGAAGTGGAGAACTTAAACGCTCTTTCGAAAAGCCATATTCGTAGGGAAGGAAGAAGGAGAATTATTAAAATGGTGGGTAAAATGTTGTGGAAGGGGTGTTCATCCAAAGTACTAAGGCCTTTAAGCATTCAGACTCCACTTTTTTTTCCACTTTTTTAAAGTTTTTTCCCACTTTTTTCCACTTTTTTTTCCTCTTTTTGTTTCTTTCTTGATATCTTTAAGCACGCAAGAAAGACAAATGAAGAACACATTTCCGCTTATCAACACAGATTCAGTTGGCCCGTACATGAGTCCGCTCTCACCACTAATGGCCACAAACGCCGCAAAGCCTCCCCACCCCACCCCCAGCAAAGCCATAAAAGAAAAAGAAATTGCCCAATTGTCGCCAGCCTGACATTTCGGTTATCTCGGTGGTCGCCTGGATCCCCATCAGGGTGGTCATCCAGACCAGAATCTGCAGGAATCAGGGCCTGCCAGCCTAGCATCGACACACAAATAATGGCAGACAAAAGATTAAAATAGGCACTAGAAAACAACACAATCACTTTCTTTTCAAAGCGATCGCCTCGCACGTTTTCGTAAACACAAGATTTATGCTTTAAACCACCAGTACACATCCGAAAAAGCAGATCGAGCCTCTCCTAAAAATTTGGAGGCCATGGATCGTCGATCCAATCAATCGGCGGTTCAAAAGAGAGGCTTAATCTCCTTTTTCAGACGTACTGGTGGTTTAAGAAAGCAACACAGGATTTTCGAGTCCGGGCAAAGAAGAAAAAAAGACAGTATGATTCCCTGCGCCCCAGGGGCCCTGTGTGCGTATACTGCAACCGTGCAGGGGTGGGGTGGATGTCATGACCAGTATGGTTCCACTTTTGAACACCGTTCACGGTTGCAGTGGTTAAGGTGTCCGGATGTTTAGCTCAAGATCGCCGGTTCGATTCCTTGCAGCGTCATTCCACAGCATATGGTTATATACCCATTGCTTAAAACTCGCATGGTAACTGTCTGGGAGATAGTACCCAGATTCGGTGGCTATGAGGAGGCCTAGTTCCCCACAAGAGGGTCTTGATGGATGCCGTGTCGAGATGAGTGTGTGTGTGTGTGTGTGTGTGTGCTCCAACCGTGCAGGGGTGGAATGGATATCACGACCGGTATGGTTCCACTTTTGAACACTGGGTCACAGTTGCAGTGGTTACGGCCTCTGGCTGTTTAGCTCGAGATCGCCGGTTCACTTCCTTGCAGGGTCGTTCCACAGTGTGGTTATATACCCATTGCTATTTAGCATTTCACTAACAACAAGAAGTCATGGGTTCGATTCCCCATGCCATCCATCCGTCTGATTCCCTGCGGCCCCTGGGGCACACTTCCAGTTGACCACCTGCGATAGTTGGCTTGCCCTCCCTGGCTGATCTTGGTAGTGGACCTCTTCTCTTCCAGCCTTCATCAGGGGTTAGAATGAGACAGAGAAGTAAGGAGAACTGGTAGACCAACTAATCCAAAAGACTCCTGCTAGGTAGTGTGAGATATATTGAGAGAAGAGTATAGCTTAGTTTTTTTTCTGGGGGAAAAAAAAAGAAGACTCTCAAACTGAGGGCTTTTCATTCAATTTCCCAACAGATCAAGGAACATGACTGCCATACATGCCGGAAATGATGGGTGAAATGGCGCACATCTAGAACTGGCAATCAGAAGGTCATGAGATCAAATCACATTCAGTACACTAACGCTACTGACTAGATCCTCCAAGATAGAGAACAAGAAGCATGGTTATATACAGTTTTAAGAGTACAAGTCCACTGCTACCACCAACGTCCATAACTTACTTTTGCCTCATTAGTCAGTCCTCAGTGCTTTGCCCTCCTAGCCGTGTACAAGATTTTCAAGGATTTCGCCTACCTTGGGTGATTTCCTTCCCTACCCTCTCAAGATCCCCTGAAGGCAAGTGTGGGCAATGGTGAGCTCAATGCACTATAACCAGATAAGCACACCTCAGATCCCTTAGCACTGGTCCACAGAGCAAAGCACAGCTGCAGAATGTCATATAACAAAACTCAGGACACATCGCTACTCCTTGCTAGGTGTTGAGACGAGGGAATGGGAGACAAAATATGTAGCTGGAGAGTGCAGACAATCGCAGAAAGAGAAGAGCATGCATGCACACATGCACGTGTGTGTGTGTGTGTGTGTGTGTGTGTGTGTGTGTGTGTGTGTGTGTGTGTGTGTGTGTGTGTGTGTGTGTG